GTGTGTGCGTGCGTGTGTGTGTGTGTGTGTGTGTGGGTGTGGGTGTGTGCGTGTGTGTGTGTGTGGTGTGTGTGTGTGTGCCTCTGCAGATGAGTACAAGTCAGAGCTTGGACAGCAGCTCTACCTGACTGCAAGTTCTTTAGTAGGCGGCGTGTGCATCGTCTCTCTGGTAGCTCTGGTTATCGTATGCACCAGGTAACACACAGCAGACACACAAACACATTTACACTGCAAAAAATTTAAATCAAGTATGTTTTTGGCAAGATTCTAATAGAAATATCTTAGAAAACTTGAAATAAGACAAAATACTGATTGTTGTCAGATTCATGTTTTTAGGATGTAAATCACTTTCTACTGCTTTGTTGCTTAAATGCGCTATATTGGTAAAATTTGATTTGATTTGAAGATACTGGAGCTTGTTTTAAGTCAATATTTCCTTAATATTGATAAAAAATGAGTACTTGTTCTATTGGCAGATTATTTTACTTATGGGAAAAATGTGTGCCAAAGGAACTAATACTTTTTCATCAACATTTAGGAACTGTTGACTTATGAAAACATTTCTTGATGAAAAGTTACTTGTAAGGTTGTTTTATTGTATTTCAAGTTTTCTAAGATATTTACACTAGAAACTTGACAAAAACACATTCATGTAGCTCTTCATTCAGCTGCTCTTTTGGTCTTCCTTTGAATGAAATGAATTTCAGATCTGGTGTTTTTCTATCACAAGATGGTTTCAAAGTGCAGAGAAGTCTTGATCTGGGGTAGTATGGTAAATGATTAAAGGTTTTATAAATGGACAACTCAATTGAGTTTTCCATTTTGATTAAAAGAATAAAAAAAGCCAATAAGCAAAATAAGGGCACAGGATCTGGAGATAAAATGGGAAATAGAAAGGTTTGACAGGTGGAAGTTGTCATTTCAGTTTTTAACCAAACTAACTTTTTTTTTTTTAATTACTTGATGGTTTCTTCTTTTGACAATAATATAAAACGATACTTTTCGATAAAGATGTATGTTTTTGATTGTAATATTTATATCCAATGCAACATTAACAGTTTATTTTATTGTTTGCTGGACAATGAAACTGAAGTGGGTCATTTAACATTAACAGATTCTTGGAAATATTATGTTAGATTGATTATATCTCAAAGCACCTTCTCAGAGGTGCAGTACTTTTTATTTTACGTTCATAATATGTGCATGATAAAGATTTTTTCATTGATGTGTGCCACTAATCCTGATGTTTAGGCCTCTGAGATCTGAGCCAATATTTTCTTTCTTTCCATAACCAGGTGTACGCCTGCGTTTAATCTCTCCCAGTAGACTTATTGTCAGGGGAGGCATTATTTTCTAGGTTGTCCCATTTCCAGTTAACTTTCAGGATCTCTGACCAAACTTATCTGGTTTTTCTCTCCCCATATCTGTCCTCTTCAAATTTCCCCAGCTGCTGATAGTTATTGGATGCTTAGCCACAGATTATAGCTGCTGATCTTGTCTGGCCAGTGGGCATTAGGGATTCATCTCACAGAAATGTTGTTGAAGGTTTGCTCTCGCTGATTGTTCACTGTGTTGTTGGACTCGGTTGCCTAAAAGCTAAATCAATTTCACAACAAAGACCAAGATTTATGTTCATTTACGCTGCTCTATTTATGTGTGTGCCAAATGTTATAACCCTATAAAAATAGTTTTCTGGCCAACATCTGAATTTCTAGCTCCCTGTAAAGTAATGTCTTAAATTACTGATTTGTTCTCAGGTGTTGCACAAATTGCAAACTGTGCAGCTCTGACTGAAAATGTGGAGCTCATATATTAATGAAATCACTCACACAGTGATGTCATTTAAGCTTTTATTTCTTTTTAATGTTGATGATCATGGTTAATAGGGAGTATAAACATAACATTTGGTTTCTTAGAAAATATTGAAAGAAATTTATTTTCATTGCATGAATATTTAATTTTTGATGGCTTGTTGTCTAGAAAATCATAAGGAAACTCTGGTCAGAGTAAAAAAAAAAAGCTGGTTGTTTGTACACATATGTATCCAAGCATTTTGTTGAAATGTTGAGTGAAGGGAAAACATGTGGTATGAAAAAGGTCCACATGCAACAGAATCAACCATTGAGTCTCCTGTTGAAGAGTATCATGTGAGAAAACTACTCTCAGAAGATACTGATGGACATATCTTGAGTTAAACCAATTCTGAACTAGATATTAAGAGGTATATTAGAAATTTCTTATCCTCTTTATGGTTCTCTTATTTGCAAAGGTAGGGAGAAGTTTGTTTTGATCAACAGCCGAATGTTACTACTGCAGAAAATGCAGAAATATTAATATGATTACATCCGCAGGTGGCATGATTTTTAATGACTCATCAAATGAACACACTTATTCAAATGTGATTTCAATTTTATTTCTTATTTTATAGAATCTCTGCATTTGCTTAATTGTATTTTTTCAACATTAGTGGGATATCAACAGAAAGTGGCACACATTTGTAAAGGAAATCGCTACAAATGCTTGCAAAGGAGAATCAGGCAAGCATACAATGAAAGTACATGAGGTATTCTCTGACTGGTCTCACGTGCTACAGTAATTTTCTAAGAAACTGAATTTTGAGTTTTCAAAATCCATAAACAGTAATTGTCAAAATTAACAAAAGTATTAGCTTGAAGTACAGCATATCCCTTTTAGATTTCAACAGTTTATTAAGGTTCTCCTTTATTATGGATCTTGTGAAGATCTAGTGGCATCTGGAGATTCTGCAGGATGTTTCTGCACTTGTTCCGTTTTCAGAGCAAAGCATCAAAATGAGGGCTGATGACACAGAGCAGTAGCAATCCTTCAAACCTAACTGGTTCTAGACAGACTGTTTCGGCAGCAGATTTTTTTAACAAGATAACTATTTTACTTCAACCCAGTTTGAGAGAAAATTGCCAATTTGCATTTTACTCCTGCAACATTTAGAGCTGCTCTGTAAAATTTATGTGCTCTTCTTCCCCTGAAGCTTTGTCTGTCTTTTTTTTTTCCCCTCTCGCTGTAGGAGGAGACATTTGAAGGAGAGTGTGTATGGCGACAAGCTGCAGCAGTACAACACAGGAGGAGGTAGACGCACAATCTATATTTTATTATTGTGAAAATAATTAAAAATTCTGGTATGCTTTTTGTAAAAAAGTTTATTTGTGAACTTTCTTTACAGAAGTGACTCTGAGACCAGACATGTTTGGCGGTCCAACCCCGACTGTGACCTTTCCCACCCTATCTGAGGGTCGCAGTTCACCAGGGGTCAAGATCTACATTGACCCCTTTACCTATGAAGATCCCAACGAGGCGGTGCGGGAATTTGCCAAAGAAATCGACCCCTCTTGTGTCAAAATAGAGGAAGTCATCGGATCAGGTAGAGATTGTCATAGGTTTAGTCCTTTTAAACTGTTGCTTAATTCATTTTTTCTCTTTTGTTTCTTTAAGCTTTTTTTTAACAAAAAAAGACAATTAAAATTAAACTCTCATCCTACCTTTTATGTTTAGAATAAGATGTAAAGAAAATGTTTAGTTTAATTGTGATTCCAACCAGACAAAACCACTGTGCCACATTTTAGTGTCGATGAGAAATATCTGGAATCATGCAATGCCAATTTGTTATTTTGCCTTATTATTTTTTCCTTTGAAGTCAGCATGTTTTATTCATGCTGAAAGCTTTCACAAGAATAAATTAAAACTGTCTTCCTGCATTTTCTTGTGAGCTCTGTGCTCATGTTGCAGAAATGCTGTGTGATCTTTGGCAAAAGAAGAATGATGGTCGCCAAAGTTCACCAGAGGTTATTGTCTTGATGCTGTAATTGTCTGGATTCAATGGAGGAAAGAGAGAAATTCATGCAAAATGTATGAAACGTGTTGGTGAGAGACCTTGATCAGCCAGACATTCTGATGATTAGAAACAATCATACCTTATAATCAATCGGCTTGTTAGACATTCATCACACAGGGCTGTGATTTGGATGTTTACCTGTTTTTGTAGGTTTTAAACTGACTGTGTTGGTTTTGTTTAATATTATCTTTTGAAGTCTTAATTGGATCTAAAAACTAATTTGAGCAACTCGATCATTTTAAACAATTTGACTCAATACTGAAACAAAAACAAATCTAATTGCTGAAAGAAATTAATGAATCTTTTTGTTTCACCATAGTATTTTCTTATAAGCTTAAAAAACAATTATATTTCTTCAAATAAGTGTGATTTGAAGGAATGATTAGCCCCAGTCTCATGGCTAACTATTTTTAAAGGAGAGTGTAATCAATTTTTATATGATGTATTGCACAATAAAGTACCTGTGAATGTGCTGTATAAATAAAAAATCACCTAAAAGAAATTTGACTTCCCATCATAGCCACATCTGATGTCTTGAAACCGGCCTCTGTCTCTTTAAGAACCTCCCACTATTTCTGACCACAAAAATGCTTTTTCCTGCCATCCATTGCTGCCGTTTACAACCGTTCTTTGAGTTCAGCAGATGTGCACTTCCACCAGCTGTTTGCTCATTTCTGCTGCCGCTAGTCTAGTGGAGCTGTGTGTTAAGGTGGAGCTTCGGGTAAACAGGCGGACCATTGTGTGTCCGAGCGTTAAGGCATCCATGAATGACTGCCACGGGAGTCAAAGCACCACTCTGAGTGAATTTGTGATGAGGGAACTACATTCTTACATTTTGCATTATTGCATTATACCGCTCAGTGAAATGTAATACTCAATTTTTTTAATTATTTCAATTGTTTATAAGCTGCAAATATTGCACCAGCCCTTATCAAAGTCTAAGTGTTTTATTTCTAACAAAATTGATTTAGTTTTCATCTTTTTTTAGGTTTTAAAGATAATTCCAACCTCTATAGTGCTTTGCCAGTCCTTCTCATTGAGAATTCATGAGCAGGTGGTATTTCGTATAATTGAATCTTATTTAGTGATTTAAATAGTTCAAAGATCAGCATTATAAAAAATCATGTGACAGGGATTGTGAATGTGTGAGGGTTGCCATGTGAATACTGATACCTCTCTGCTATAATCTGTAACTCGTTTAGATGCCATTACCTTTTATTTTATGGGATAATATTTTTCTTTTACTGCAACTCGAACCAGATTGAGAAATGTTTTCCCTTCAGATGGTCTGCTCCTGATAACTCATAACTTATTTAACACAGGACCAAAAACCAATCACACCCAAAGAGTCTTCTGAGCCCTGGGTGTTAAAGGTCATGAACCAGGTCCAGACCCTCACCACTGCAAGTATGTGCTTTGGCCTTTGGTCTGTTGAACCACTTTGAGGGGCTTTTGGTAATCCCTCCATTTGGTGCTTTATTATTCTCAGGGAAGGGTTTCTCATTCCAGAGAAACTGGATGGAGAAGGAATGAAAATGACAGGGAGGGAGGGGAAAGCACAAGGATGGATGAAATGAGATGTGGTCAGACTTTGAGTCCTTCAGGAGCTCCATAACTCACTTTTCACATTGTTTCTCTCTTGTTTTCTTCCTCTGTTCTCCTTTGATTCTTTATCCGATCTTCAACACTTTCTGTGATTTACACCCTCTGGAGTTCTAGTTTGTTTTTGAACAGACAAATCCTGAACAATGAACCATGGAAGGAAAAGCAGAATAACAGATTGGGAAGTGAAGATAAAAGAAGAGAGCCCTACGGACATAATAAAAATATCCCACCTGACTCCCTTATTCCCTTCCTTTGAGATAACACTCTCTTTCCATTACTATCACTCAGCCTGTAGGAAATGTCCTTCACTATATCCACTTTGTTTGACTGGGGAAATGTCGTGAAACGCATTATGTTTATCATATGACAGACTAAGACATCATCTAACGGTCCTTTACTAACAGTGTTGATTGAATATAGATTTATAGAGCGTCATCCTTCATTCCCATCCCATCTTCTTTCCATTCTTCCTTGTGTGCTTGTTCTGGTTTACAGCACTGACACAAGATAGTTTTTAATGAGCGATGATATGTGGAGCACAGATCAGTGTGAGACTCAACGGCACGGCCCTGTCATCCAATTCCCATCTCTCATCTATTATTCACGCAACGATTTTTTATCTGTGCAGCAACGACTTTTATTTTGAAGTTAATTCAATTCTCATGTACCCCATCATGATGTCGGTGCGTTTATTTTGACAAAAGATGTCTGTGCCTCTGCAGAACGAAAATAGTCTGGTTGTTGAGGTTGCAGCTAGTTTTTAATTACTTGCAGCAGACCAGGTAAGTTTATCAGGTGATTATGAAAGTCAGAATTAGTTCAACTTCTTGCCAGGGATTGCTCCTTGACACCAATTTAATCAGTTTTTGGAGATCAGCTGGAAGAATGGGGCTCAATTTTCACTGCGTGTTTGATATTTTTGGAAAATTCAGATTATTATTATTTTCCTCCCAGCTTGCATTTGGAGCAGAGTTTACGCTAGACTTTTTTGCAATATTATTTTGACTATTGGGGTTAAAAGCATCCCACTATAATCTATTTTTACCCATCAATATCTACTATAACAATGACATTCAATGGTATTTAATTTGTAAAAAAAAATAATTTTAGCCAATATGCAACCCAAACAAGCTTAACGGGGAATCAATATTGTGCCATTTCACATCAAGCTGATAAATTTATGTAATTTTCTTCTCACCTGTCATAAAAGCCACTGATTTTCCTCCCTGTAACTACATATAAAGAATGACAATAAACAATTGCACATAAAGTATGAATGACTGTATAGCCAGAATGCACACTCTTACAACTTCCTCCTGGTCCTGAATGGAGCCGCTTGTGTATAATCAGACATCTCCAATGAGCTGCACAGGTTACTGTCATGACGTTTTGGGTATTGTCGTCGTTGTTTTGATGTTATTGTGGAGTCTCTGCCTGGAATCACAAGCCCCACCTCAGTCAAAGTTTTGAAATCAGGAGTCATTTCTGCAGCTGAAGTTATCAGACGAGAAGGTTCCTGATCCTACAAACCCTCGCTTCAGTGGGAGGAAATCCCACATCATGCGCTCCTTTGGCACCAGTGGCTCAGCTGCACTGGTCTGCGACGACGATCGAGATGCACTGAGAGCAGAACGAGATGGTACTCAAATTCTCTCATGGGAATCTTTTTTTGATTGCTTTAGTCACCTGTACTCTGTGTGTCAAGACGAAAATGTCTCCGTGTTTGCACTACATGGTGAGGAGCGGGAATGCTAATCTTTCAAAATGAAAGATGACCTTCAGATTTTTCTGTCTTCAGATTTTTGACCGTTTTACAAAAGTGGTCAGAGGCGGAAACTATTCGGTTAACCCGACCTCGGGTTTAGAGAGAACAGATCCTGGATATTTCTAAAGGAAGATATGACGAATTCGAACAACTATGTTTTTATCAATCACAGCACAAATATCTGTAAATATTACAGATCATCCACAAAAGAAATATTTATATTTGAATGAGATTCAAAGACAGACTTGTTTCTAAATTTTCCTTACAATGTGATGAATAAGTATTTCCTTTTTAAAAATGTCTTCTACTTTGCTTTTATTCAAAAAATCCAAAGTTTCAATTAAGTTTATTAGTATAGTACAGTTCAGCAACACGTGAATACATCATAAAAACAAAACAAAAAAGTTCTCAAAACATCTATCACAGATTGTGAAGCCAGTAACATTTTGATGACATTTTTGTCATCAAAATAATCAAAATATTGGTCAGTGTTCGAGTCCTGGGAGTAACTAAGTAGGTTTGGCTTCAGTCTAGATTTATAGGAACTCAGTGTTTCGGCTGTTTTGCAGTTTTCTGGAAGATAGTTCCAGATTTGCGGTGCATAGAAGCTGAGTCTCTGTTTGGTTCTTAATAATGTATTTAAGATGAAAGTTTACATACAAATCCTAATTTCACCCACAGGAGAAGGGCATTGCCTTTAATTTGAGTCTTTGGAGGTTTTCATTGTTATGTCTTATTTAACTAGCTGCAATTTATCCTGGTAAAAGTCTCTAGCTCCTACACATTGAACCTTTAACTATTATCTTTTTGAAACTTATAAATAGAAAAATCAGTAATAATAGAGATCCCCACTCAGTAAATGAATACAGCAGGATGTTCACAAAAGATTTAAACCTGTGAACCCTGTGATTCAGCTCACTCTCTTGATCCATTAAGCTTTGTTTAATCAAGAGATTATGAGACATGTCGTGCAACGTTATGTGTCTAAGCAATAATAATAGCACAATCCTTTTTTTATCTTGTTCGCACATCGAAAACACAACCTTTTCTCACCTCAGAGAGCAGCAATAAAAGGGATTCGTTTGTTTGTTGCACTTTTAAGCCACACACACAAAAAATGTTGCCCTTCAGCCTCTGTTTGCTCTGCTGGATCTGCTTAGAGTCCACCAGAATGATGGGAGTGTGAAACATTGGAGCATTACCACAATTAAACCAACTCAGCTGCTGTAAAAACACTGGGAATATAATTATTCTTCTCCATACTCATTTATAGTTTATAATAAGTTTCAAACTGAAAATGTGGTTAATGATTTTTTTTTGTGTGTGCAGCCTTCTGGAACCTCATGTAGAATTTGTTCTTTACCTTTTTGTATTTTGCTGTCTAATTTTTGCTCTAATGTCATTTTTTTGCCATTTTGAAGGTGAGTTTGGAGAGGTGTACAAAGGTCGCTTGAAACCTCTTGGGAAAAAAGAAATCCCCGTAGCGATCAAGACCCTTAAGGTGGGCTACTCTGAGCGTCAGAGGAGAGACTTCTTGGCCGAGGCGTCGATCATGGGCCAGTTCGACCAGCCGAACATCATCAGACTGGAGGGCGTGGTCACAAAGAGCAGACCGACCATGATCATCACAGAGTTCATGGAGAACGGCGCACTGGACTCATTCCTGAGGGTAAGGAGCGTTCTGCCAGCAGGATACTGTTAACAAACCAACACAGATCAGCTTCACTAGGTCAGATTTACGTAAGGGCTGAAAGGACTAATCTGATTAGCCATGATTAATCAATTATAGAAATCATAATTGCTTAATTAACTTTCTAAATAAAAAAAAAGTCCTAATTGCTGAAAATGTCAACATATTCAGAGATGTAATTAGGCCAAAATTATACAAAAACAATATGTTGCATTTAAGGTAAAAATGCAACATAAATAGGCAAAACTCCTCTAGCCTCACCCGATTCAAAATGACTACATTAATGCTGTTATTGCATTTTAAGCAAAACATTCTGATATAGTATAAAAAAGGCTTAAGTTGTAAATGAAACATTTTCTTTATCCATTAATAAAACAATTTAGTTTCAGCCGTAGTTTTACGTAGGCATGTTTAACAATTAAATGTGGAGTATTTGTGAACATGCTGTACTGTTAGGACAAACTGCCAGTTGAGGAAAGGATTACGAGCTTCAGAAATGATGCGCAAGAGGAGACAGAAACGGCCTCCTGTCCTTCCTTTTTTTAGCTTTGGCTCTTTTCCTTCCTGTACTCTTCCCTCATCCTGCCAGCCTGTCCATGTCTTTGATCCCGGCCTCCTTTTGAGGTGCTGCTAAAAACAGAAAGAGAAAACTCTTTGATGCCCAGTTCTCACAGCGCGACCCCATTTGACTCAGAAACCATCAGATGACTTGCACACACACACACACACACCGGGATCGATCCTGCCGGTGTTGCTGTCCTGGCGTGACCGTCCTGAAGGGACCGGACCTGCGGCACCATCGCAGCTTGTTTGTGTGCACCTAGAAGAAGGTTTTTCCCTGCGGAGGATTAGGCCAGGGGAGCATCAAAGGCACAGTTTGCTGCACAAAATGAATTAAAAGACACACAGAGCAGACTGCAACTATGTCAGTCGGCGGTTTCTCTAAGGTTTAAAAGACACGGAGGAGAGAAACCGAGATGCCAAAAGAAAAAAGAAAAAAATCCCAAAGTCCATTTTAAAGTCGGCAAGTGCAGCATATTTTACAGTACATACTGAATACTGTAAACACAAATTGACTGAGATTTATCTGTATTAATCGGTTAATGGAAGGATTATAAACATGGCTATGAATGTCTGTGAAGATGTCAGGCTGTCCCCCGGGGGCTGCGTGCGCCGTCAGCCCACTTCACCCAAAGGCAAAGATTGTTAGCAAATGTCCTCTTTAAAAAGGAGGAATCATAAGCCAGTCTGAGGCATTTATCTGTGCACAGGAAAACAAACAAACAAACAAACCAAAAAAATGTGTTTGTGTTGATTGAACACCCATTAATTCTGGGATATTATCACAGATTAATCCACTCTCCTAGAAAGGTTTAATATTTTAATCACTTAAAAATAGGCTCATTATTTTCTCACTGCAGACATAAACTCAAACATTACTGCACTTTAGATCAACACATAGATTCTTACTTTTGTTCTGGACTTTGACTATGCCTTTCCTGCAACATTTATTTATCTACCATTCCATTCTTACTGAGGTTTGCTGGTTTTTTGCAGCTTCAAACAAGTTTTCCTGCAGTCATATTTTCCAGAATGACTGTAATTAGATTCGTACATCTTTCCCTCTGCAGTAAAGCATCTCCTCACCATGATGATGCTTCCATTTTGTCTCAGTATGGAGATGGTGTGCTCAGGGTGGTATGTAGTTATTTTTATACATTAGGTTTGCATATAGGCCAAATTTTGCCCCAAAGCACCTTCTTCAAACACAGTTCCTCTACATGGCTCTTGGCAAACTTTAAGTGGGACTTCTTATAGCTTTCTTCCAACAACTATTTAATTTTTCTGCTGTTTCATAAAGGATCAATTTATTGTGTGCACAATTAATAGCTAATTTGTCGACAAATTCTCCCACCCGAGCTCTGGTTCTCTGCAACTCCTGGCTCCTGATTATGTTTTGATCTATTAGAGAAATTCCCAGTAAATTATAGATTGAACTTTTGGTTTTTCATTCAGTTCAATTTTTAAACATTTTCTTAATTCTAAAGAGAAACTAAATCATTTGGAAAAAGCTACAAGGACTAAGAGCTACAAATATGTTTGCAAACTTTTCATTCCTGAAACGGTCAGTCTTTCAGTGGAGCTGCAGCGGTTTGATGTTTTATGGAGGAATAATCCACGGAGGTTTGCTTTTAGAAGCTTTTGGCTTAATTTTCACTCTGTCTCTGCATATTATCTCATCTGCCAGACTTGTAATGTTACTAGACAGTTGCTGATGATGAAAACATAAATTTACTGCAATATTTTGTTTTAAATCACTCATTTTTTTAAAGCTATGCTAGATTTATGTGAGGGATAACTTGCATCTTGTTAGTTCTTTTTTTTTTTTTTGCACAACAGCATCTTAATTCAAGATGAGAGGAAAGGCTTATACCGCTTGTATGTTGGAAAATATGTAATACAAGTAAATTTACCACAAATTTATGACTTCATAATCTCTGTAAACCTTTCAATTTTTCTTTTCATGCAATTTTCCGGCATTACAATGACAGAAAATAGTTCTGTCGTAATGTCATTAATTTATGCCTTTGATCATTAAAAAAAGAAAACCTTTCTGTTATAATCATAGCTGGGGTTCTATTTACTATGAAATAAAAAAAAGAACATTTAATTATCCATCTGCTGTGTGGCAAACCAACTCTGTTAGTTTTCAATTGCACTCAGGACCACACAAAATCCTTCTAGGGGCCTCAAATGGCCCCCAAACCACATTTTGGACACATCTGGTTAAAGGTTAGAGATATTAATTCAAGATGAGTGTTAAAATAAAGTTAGTGATTTTCTTTTTATTATTCGTTTTCTTAAGGTTTATAGTTTTTCTTGCATTGGAAATTGATGCTATGTGAACTTTACGATACTGTTGGGACATGTCAACTAATTAAAGTTTAAATAAATGGTAAAGAATCCATTCATGTGTTTCTGTGTTTTAGCAAAACGACGGTCAGTTCCCGGTAATCCAGCTGGTTGGCATGCTGAGAGGCATCGCATCTGGAATGAGGTGCCGACACACACACACACAAACACACACTAATCCATTTTATTACAAAGATAAACAGGAAACCTTCTCTGATCCTTCAGTGATTGATTTCCTTATGCAGAACAGCACACACTTAAACTCTACCTGCTGTAATGTAAGTCCAGGTATTTCACTGCAGCGTTACAACTTGGCAGCTTGAGATCTCACATCTCAGCCTGCAGTAAAACACAGATAGCGTCTGCGTTTTACTGCAGGCTGTGAGCACGCAAACATACAGAAATATTCAATCTCATTCCAATTTTATCGGAGGTAGCTGACACACGAGCTCGGAAACACACAAAGGCACAAACACGCACTCTAAATTCCATTAGTGCACCAAAGCTTGCAACAGACAACACACGTTGAGTCAATAAATCCTGCTGATGCTGCAGGTACCTGGCGGAGATGAGCTATGTTCACCGGGACTTAGCAGCGCGAAACATTCTGGTGAACAGCAACCTGGTGTGTAAAGTATCCGACTTCGGCTTATCGCGTTATTTGGAGGAGGATACCTCTGACCCCACCTACACCAGCTCACTGGTAAGGAGGAAGAAACTTCTCTGCAAACTCCCAGCTTCTTTCTAGGATTTTGTGATACTTTGTGTAATTTCCTTCAACAGATGGTATTTCAAACACAGGAAACCAGCATGTTGTTATATCACATCCTTTAATCCTGGATTTCTGTCAGCAGTCTCGAAAGAGAAGCTTTTGTTTGACCAAAACTTTTTTGGTTTTGGTTCGTTTTTCTTTCCTTTTTGTTAAGAAAGAAAAGATTGGTTAACATGTTTGTTCACATTTGTTAAGTTTGGTATGCTTTTTCTTGACTTCATTACTTCTAAAAATCTGAAAAAATGAATATAGTTTGCTCTTCTAATACAATCAATATGCAGTTTCTTTCATTTTTCTTTTTTTTTTATCACTTCCATGTCTTGCATACTATTCTGATGCCCTTCCCATGACCTTTTCCTATACTTTGTTCTACCTAAGCTGAATTTCTAAGTATGACAAATTCCCTCAATGCAGCCTTTTCTTTTTTCGCTGTCATCTTTTATTTCTGCCTTTTGTCTTCATTTTTTTCCCCCTTCTTTTTCCCCTCAGGGGGGTAAAATCCCAGTGCGGTGGACGGCTCCAGAGGCGATCGCCTACAGGAAATTCACTTCTGCTTCAGATGTGTGGAGTTACGGGATCGTCACCTGGGAGGTGATGTCGTACGGAGAGAGACCTTACTGGGACATGAGCAACCAAGATGTAAGTCACCACCTGGTTACCTGTCTCTCTGTCTGTCTGCTGCTCTGATGTCTGCGGCTGTTTGGTGTTTTTGGAGGCTGCGCTTGTTTGTTTTTCCTTGCCGTCTCTCCCAGCAGGGAGTCGGCACGTCTGAGGAAAACATGCGGAAAATGAGGACATCAATTCAGATGTCGCATGTGTTTTTCTTCCCTGAGCATTAGTCCAAAGGTATCAGGATTGTGCTTTCAAGCAGATGTTTACTGCAGGCGATACTTTATTGTAGTGACAGCTTCATTCCAATTACCTTCACAGTATGATCAATTTGCCACAGCATTTCTTTACCTTATTTTTGTTTATTTTGCATCACATTGATTTTATTAAGTTCTCAGAGATTACATTGGTCCTGCTGTGATTTAGGCTAGAAATAATCAGCAGGTTTATAAAAGAGGACATTCCCATTTCTCTGCTGTTTTTTTCTGTCAGCTATAATTTAGAAGAGAGAACTGAGTTCTCCATTTCGCTCTTGGAACTGAAAGAAAACGGAGTTCAGGACGAGAAGTTCTAAAAGATTGAATCACAGACATTTTCATTTTTGGGGGATTTTATTCTGAGGATATTATATCAAACTGAGATTATAGTATCTTTTGGCACTAAAGCCTACCGAGGCTCTAAATCCCAAATCTGGCTACATGAAATTTATGCAGTTTGTAAAGGTTTGACGTGTAGAAGCCAAAGATGTAGATATGCAGTCATATTCAATAAATTGGAATATGTTCTGATGAGGTTTGTTGTCAGGTTAAAATTACCGTTTTTTCTTAATTCTCTGTATACTCCTCATACTTCTTTCATTTAGTTCAGAAATGTTCAACTCCAATCTTTGTCACGCTTCACGGTCGCTGCATTGTAATGGAAATGTGATTTTTATAAATGTATTTTCTTAACGCCTCACCCCCCACTCTGAATGCTGAATAATGAACTAAAAGGCAATATCGTAAATTGAGAAAAACTTTTATTAAAAGCATGTTGGCATAGCAACAGTGACACATTGTTTTTCCCTCTCACCTCGCCTCGATATCTCATCGCTCTGCCGGTATTTTCTGGCGTTAACAGCTTTTAATTCATACACATCTTGGCTGAGTGAATAAATAAATATGTAGGAACTTAAGCAGCCACGTCAGATGCAAACGTATTTATTTTAGTATTTAATATTTGCAGATTTTTTTTTTTTGCTGGAAGGTGTGAGGGGTTATGCTTTATTTTTGTTGTAATTAATTAATCAGAATAAATGTGTTAAAGTCTCAACCCTAACATGCAACTTTTTATTCAGCCAATTAGTATTTAATTACTGCAGAGTCAGTGATGCTTCAGCAACTGGCCGCCTCCTGGATAATTCCTGGGAAACGTGTTCAAAGCATTTTGAACAAAACATTTAGCCATGTTTCATCTCGGCTGATGATAGTTATCAAACCGCCGCTCCCAATCAGTTGAAGTTTCCTGTCTATAGAAAAGCTCGTGCAAAAGCCTCAACCTTCTGTGGTTTATTCGTATTTTGCCTGCAAACAGTCTTGTGAAATTACAGAGCTCTTCAAAATAATATATCTGAAACTTTTTTCCCATTTTGTAATGTAACAAACTTTAAAAAATGTTTTGTGGATTTATTTCTTGTGTTAGTCAAACACAATCATTATGAATCTTAAGGATTTTAAAATATGAGTTCTGGACCTTTTTTTATTTTTGCTCCATGCAAAAGGGAGCTTTAAAACTACCAAGAAATGACTTGTTGTTCAGTGTAAAAGGTGGAAACAGCTGGCCAAGAGTCTGGCAGTAACTCCACTGGAGCAGCAGAGATCAGCGAACAGCTAAAAAAACCCTTAAGACAAAAAACCCTCCAGTATTCGCTTCAAGCAAGAGTGAACAACTATTTTAGTCTCTAAATATATAAATTTTAGAAAGACAAGAGTTGCAGCTGAAACTGTAGTGGATGCGTTGACTTAGTGGCTCTGATTTCTACTCCAACCTTTTCAGATTCAAACTTTTTCAAAACTGTGCATTTATTTCCTTTCACTATTATGGATTTTCCTGTTTTTTTTTCTTTAACACAAAACAATCTGAAATATACATAGGGTTCCGATTCTTAACACTTTCAATACATTTGAAAGGAAATCTGTTTAAAGTTGTATTTATTAACATTTCTTTAAGTTTTAAAGGTTTATTTGGACATCAGATGCTTTTTAGATAATTTTGTCTCACTTTCTTGAGTGTGCTTGTTAATCCACTGAACCCAATATCTGAAGGCTCTTTGTTTTTTAAAAGTCTAAGAAACGATATCATTTTGTTGATTTTCATAAACTTTCCCATAGAAATAACAGTGGTCTAGCAAAAGCAAGGCGATGTCCAAAGGGGCATTAGCTAACAACTCCATTTAAAAGTATGTCTGCCAGGTAATGTGCTATGATAAATCTTTACCACGGCACAAAAACAAAACATGAGATTAAGTGTAAACTTTTGTGTTCTACTAAAGAGAAAACTAAAGCCTGAGTTTATGCATCACTTGACTTTCTGTGAAGAGTTTATCTGTAGTAACGTCTTCTAACATTTAAACAGCAGGACAAAATTCTTAAATAAAGTCAACTTCCTGGGATTCCTCTGTCTCTCCTCCAGCTCTAAACTCCTCCCCGCCCTTTCCGTTCTCCTCCTCCCGTTGCTCTTCCTCGGCTTTTCCCCGAGCCGCAGCTTCTCTACAGCCGTAATGAGAGAAATTCAGTGTAATGACAGAGACGGATTTATTATGGAACAGTCTGTGTATAATGATGGGGAAGAGTGTGTGTTTCCAGTACGGCTAACGAGGGTCTGCGGGGGCTTTAACTATGCATGGAGCTGACACCCTGAGCTCACACTTATCACACATTCAGACTCGCTTTCAGCCGAACCACACACCCATACACGCACTCTCACAGGCCGACGTGTAAAGGAACGTGCACACACACACACACGCACCCACGCACACACACACACACACTTGCGTGATTTCAAAGAACACAGAGGAGTGAAATTGTCAGCAGAGCCACTGCAGGTGCAGTGTTCGACATGAATTAATCATGAAAGAGACCTGTGATGTTTTACTACACTTGCTGCTATTTTGATTGGCATGGGTGCTTAGACTGAATTTCTGCATTACAAAACCTGACGTGTGTCAGGGTCAACTGGAGTTCACCTTGGAAGCCGTCAAATCCCCAGCAAGACGATTGTACAAGTGCCGCCTTTTTATAGCTCACAGGTTACATTTAATTTGCAGAAAGTCAGGAAAATAAAACGACACACGTGTTTCCGTCTTGCAATTTTATGGCTAAATGGTTGCAGAAGAGTAAGCACCAGATTTGAAAGGGGGCTGAAGTTGGAAGTGGTTTAGACGTCGGTCACAGGTGTGACCAAAGCAGCTAAACGGGTTACAAGGTCAAACAAAGCACAGGAGTCTCTGAGAAGTCTGTTGTGGGAAAAAAAGCTGACAAGCAAAAGTCTAAAAAGTGGCAGAGGTCACGAACTGAGGTAGAAGAGGAACAAGGCAACAGACTGGAGCACTTTGGCAGGATGACAGGAAGAAAAAAAAAACGATGAAAAAGCAACATCAATAAATAAACAGTAGATTCAGGGAGAAACATGGAAAATGGTTGGAATAGGTGAAAGCAACCTACAGCTGGCAGGAACATCAAAAAAAAGAAGAAAAAATCATAAAACTGTAAATATTTTCATTTTGCAGTGATGCAAGCATTGTTCTGGTGAAGAAAGAACATATTTATCGATCCAAGTCTCATCTGTAAAATATGGATCAGAACCAAGAGGTAGCAGAACTTAGCTCTGTTCAAAACACTTATTAATGTTTTATGGTCAGTCATGAAATAAATCACACTTATTAATATTTTTGGCTAACATTTAAATTACAATTATTCATCTCAATTACTCACAGTTGGGAAACAATAAGTAATTTTGGAAACACTTCATTTATTACACTTGCCATATTTTTCATTTATAGTTTTTTAGCACAGTTTTTTTTTTTTTTACAAGATGACCTCTGTTGACAGTTTAAAGACAGAATGTGTAGATTCTGCTATTAAAGTGTCATAGCATCTGTTATTTCAGTTGTTCTGCTGCACTGGCCACAAAAGCAAAAAGAAAGTCTGAAAAAACGCATATAAAAATTTACAAGTAAGCAATCAACATTCAGTTTATAAGATATGGGACTAATATGGAAGAAATTACTTAAAACTACATTTTACAACTAAACTGAACCAAAAAAAAGTACCACTTAGAAGAATATAATTTATGTCATTATGAGGTTTTAATATGAGGTTATCACAAAACGTTTGACGTAAATAACAAAAATTTGATCCATTATTACTCACTATGTCAATTTTTAAAAAGTTGCCCCACTGATTGTTATCAAATCTGTTTGTTATTACGATAGCCAAATTTCACAAGTTTACAGTTCACTAAATGTATGGGTGGTGTTTGGCTCTAAAAGCTGTCAGTACGCTCATAATTTAACATTTTATTAATCAAACTTTAAACAAAATGCTGGTTTATCCTGAGGCAAAATTTTGCAATTATGTTCATGTTGATTTGTCTTTCATGCAGAAAAGTATGAGCTTTCTGAATAGACGAGACAGATGGAAATAATCGGTGTGTGAGAAAACTGCCAGAAATACGTTATCTGACATCTGTACAGTAATTAACTCATAAAATGGGGTCTTTTCAGTAGACTCAACAAGCATTACATCCATAACTTTAATTGTTTTTGTGAATCACTTAAATCATGTCATGTTCCTGGCATACAGTGATTTCAGATGGTAATTTATACTTTGATATTTTTGATGCGACCAAGCAAAGGTTTTGCTTCGGCAGAAGTTTCTGCTGTTTACAGATAAATATCAGAATAAAATTTGTGACCGCCCAGCTAATTTTTTAACTAAAATATTGTGCTCCGCCCAGGCTGCGCTGATCACCACACCCAGCCTGTTTTTGCCCTCAAGCCGCCATGATGGGATGCCTCATTCATGACTGCAACACGTCTGCTGTTGCTATTTCTCTACTTTTTAATCAGTTTATATGTTAAACTGTGCAAAATGACTTTGAATCGTTTGTAGTCGGTGAACACATCTGTGCAAATTCCTCCAGTTATTTAACTGCCTCCATTTACTTGTTGCACAAAACCCAAGTTGTAAAATTTGTCTCTTTGTTATTTTGCCCTCTGAAATTATTACGCCCCTTTAAATACTGTATTTTGTTTTGGATCTACATGTGGGTGTTTATTTCGTAGTGCAGGCTAAGAGAAGTGATCAGAGGAAAATGACATTCACAAGAGGCAGTTTTTCTCTCCTCTTGAGCTTTCATGACAGCACCATGCTGCTTGTCTCTTTGATCCTCAGAATGACTCTGTGCTGCTCAGTATGTAAGATGAAACATTTAGAACCGAGCTTTTTATAGTTCAGATATTATATAAATGTAGATTTGTATCAAAGCTGAGAGGAGGGAGGGACTGATGGAAGTGGGAGTATCTCCAGGCTCAATCCCATTGCTTGGAAGTTTGATTTTGTTGTAATAGAGTCACTGGATCTAGCATATTTTTTTTCTTTTTTGAGATTTTAGCATAGGAAGAATGGTGGTCCATGTCCTGTGGTGCCATTTTTTAAATAGTTTTATTCGTTACCACTTGGAAAGTAACAGATTAATAGAAACAAATAAAAAGTAACAGCGACTTTATCACTGCAGCAGATTTTTATATGAGAACCACCACAACTCTTATTCAGTTACATAAACATTCGTTGAATATTTGAAAAATATTGAAACAAGTCAATGTTGGATTGTATCTGTTTTGGCAAAGATATTATCTTTCTTCTGTCATTATCTATCTTCTGACTTCTTTATTTCTGTTTCTGTGAAAATCCAGATTATTCATTTGCTCACTTGTGTCATTGCATATTTATCTGACATTTATCAGATGCCTTTTGATGTCAGGTCGTAATGCCTACGTCTGTGTTGTATATTATTGATTTTCGTAAAACGAAGATTGTGGATAATGAGTTTGACAACATTTTCATATGACCAGATATGTGATATGTCACAAAATTACAATGTTGCTGGTTTGGTCTCAGGATAAATGACTGAATTATAACTAACAGTGAGAACCTGAAATTTGCAAATACCTGAGACCTCCATTAAAAATACTTAATTCCACTATTGGGGTTCACAACCAATCAGCAGCAAGAAAAATGAATGGCACTTTTGGGTTTGCTGCTTGCAAAAACCAGCTCTAAAAGGCATTTTTTAGCTTTTCCAGCTGCATTTTTATTTTAATCCATAAATAGACACATTTTCCATGAGAAAATCTGAGTTATGTTCCACAGAAAAATACCCAATTATTGTCGATGTCAATTTATTTATTTATAAAGCACTTTAAAAAGAGATATTAACTATACAGTATTTATGAAACCAAAGATAAAAACATAAAAGAATAAAAACAAGTGATAAGTTAAAACAGACAGCACAAGTAAATCACAACGTCAGGCCTTTTGGAAATGCCAAAGAATAAAAATGAGTTTGACGTGTTCTGGGCTATGTGTTCAAATATTGATCAGTGAACATGCGGCGGTCCACTCTGATGTGACAGGATCAAGAACACAACATTCACCCTTCAAAAAAATGAAACTCTGTGACTTTCATTTGGTTTCTCTTTTGCTCCAGCATTTTTGTGTCAATCCGCCTGCTTCTCCGGTCTGCTGTGTTCCAGGTAATAAACGCCATAGAGCAGGACTTCAGACTGCCGGCTCCCATGGACTGCCCGGTAGTGCTGCACCAGCTGATGCTGGACTGCTGGCAGAAAGACAGAAACGCAAGGCCAAAGTTCTCTGACATCGTCAGCATGTTGGACAAAATGATCCGCAACCCTGCGTCTCTCAAAGCCGGCACCAGCAACATGGCTCCTGGGTGAACAGAGATATTAACACATTTCCATACCCAAACACTCTCTGTTTGTGATACAGTTGAGATTATAATCATCCTTATATCTGCTCCCTGCAGTCCTTCCCATCATCCTTTGTTAGACCGGGGAGCTCCGGATCTGAGCAGGGTGAGCTCGGTGGAGGACTGGCTGGCTGCTCTGAAGATGACTCAGTATAGAGACTCCTTCATCGGATCGGGGTTCACGTCTTTGCCCCTGGTTACACAAATCACAGCTGAGTATGTCTGACCTAACTGTTTTCACTTCTCCTCTATCATTCTCACTGCATGCGCCTTTAAATTGTATAACTAAGTTAAATAGTTGCAATATGCGTCACATTGGAACTTTCCCGCTGCTGATGTCTAAAGGCAATAAGTGATACTGTTGCTTTAAAGAAGACGTCGATGTGAGACTTTCCTCTGGTACGCCTATACTGCACTGATGCCCTCTGAACCTGAAGCATTTTGAATACAGAGAGGAAATTTACCCAAAGGGACTAATTAAATATATCCTAAAATGTACGGGTGTGAAGAAGGCACTGCAGGTATATGAGCCGGTGAACTCTGTTTCACATTTCATGCAGAATGAACAACTTCCTCAGAGGAAAAAAAAACGGACGGGCGACCCGCCTGAACTCACATTTCTTGGGTTTTTAATTTGTTCTCTTTGCATCATAAATTCAGCACTGCATGTATATTTAATTAGGTTTTAAAACTGCTCCTCATGTTACATTTTTATAGGTAATATAAAGCAATGGGTATGACAATAGTTCAGTTACATTAAACTTGAGATCTGATCCAAGACATTATTTAAAAATCACTCTTAATAGTATATATATTGTATATTATAATATACAACCACATCTAATGGCATGCTGATACAAAAATAGTAATTTTATGTGTATTTCTTTTGTGTGTAGGGTTTGAGCTGCACAAAATGAACAAATTATGCAATGGCAATAATAATGGTAAATATTAGAGGTGTACTGATAGGAAAATTCATGCACAATGACGGTATGGCAGAATTTTGATTCTGACAATACAATGATAATATATTTGTGGTAAATAATGCAGCACTTTGTAGGAGTGTGTAATGCAGGTTTGCTTAGTTTAAGTGTTTACTTTTGCAAAGCCTCCCATCAGTGTGCTGCTGTTTTCCCCTCCAGTACCAGCAGGAATTACATCATACCAGCATCTGTGGTTGTTTATCATATTTGTTTCTTTGTTTTCACAGAGACCTGGAGAGGATTGGAGTGTCTCTTGCAGGACACCAGAGAAAAATACTGACCAGCGTTCAGTCCATGAGGCACCACACTGATGACCAGTCCCCCACTGAATCTGTGTAGCCATGGGTGAAGAAACACTTTGATATATTTGACCATTCTTGAGTCTGTGAGTGAACAGACTTCTTTCTCACCAGTTTACTTATTCTGAAGATCTGTTATGTCCCTTCACAGTCATTAAAAACCCATTTTAAAGACTCCATTAATGATCTTGCAATCAATGGAGATGTTTCTTATGGTATTTAGACTCTGAAGTTGGAATCCCCCCCTCTGGAAATTTTCTGTACAGGTTTTATTTGTTGAACAGACTGAAAACAGCAATGAGCAACACTGTGGAAAAAGAAAATGACTGTTTGTCCTGATGGTTATCTCCTGAAAGGAAAGACGAAAAACCCCAAGTTCTGCTTGAAGGATAACTTTGACTTCAACCTTTTCGCTCCACAAGCCATTTTCATCAAACTCAATCGCTTAAGGAAGACAGGGTGTGTTCTTTTTTTTTTTTTTTTTTGAGGATGAATCAAACTAAGACTGTACTGTAAAAAGAAACTAGCTGAGGAGCCTTTTGTGTGAATGGACAAACTGGACCAAAAGCCTGCTAGAAAATGTTTCTGGATGCAAGAGCAACAGCAGGCCTTCTTGTTTCCAGCATGTTGTGTTGTGAGTATTTATTTCATTGTGTTTGTGAAAACTACAACCATTTGAATCCGGACTGTTTAAATGGGACCTTTTTGAATCGATCTTCACATTGAAGAGTTAGTAAATATTGTTATTTGGGAATTTCTTCCCTTGTTGTTCATTTACCCTTTGCTGTTTTGCAACGTTACTGGAGTATTTGTGATCTTTTAGTGATTTACTTTCCATTTTATTCATCACTAGTGTAAACTCTAAAGTGCTGTTGACTGGAGACAACAAACATTTCTCAGTGCTCAGACAGATGGCCCACATAAAACACACAATTTACACTTTTAATGGATGTTTTTGGGTTGAATCGACGTCCTGAGAGGAAAGGAAAATATGACGGAACGCCTGGATGACAACATATATAAATGCACATCTCAATCTATTGAGGAAGAGTTTTTAGTTGATCCATTTTAAGAATGACTTGAACATGTGATATACTTGCATTAAACACAAAGTAATCTGATATTTTGTTATGTAAATTTTAATGATTGTGGCCAACAGCAAACAAAGCCTAAGACATAGTTTCTCATAAAATTACAATATCATACAAAACTGACTTTCAGAACAGAAATGCTGTCCTGATGAAATGTGGTGATTGTAGCACAGTGGACATGAAGACTAAAGCAGGTTTTGACAGAATGAACCGGTACTAATGTGACCTGGAAAATGAAGTTAGCAGCTCTGTAAAGCTCATCAGCGGAGGTAAACATGGTGTTTCCTGCTTGATGTTGAGCCGACTTAATAAAATGCTGGACCAACACCAGTCGCCAACATGGCTCCCGAATCATCACTGACTGCACCAGGATAAACACTTTTTGTGCCTCTCCAAAAAAAACTTTGTCACCCAAACTAATTAAATACAAAAATCACTTTCATCTGAAAATTCGACAACATGCTGTAAATCTTCAAATTCTTATATGGCCTCAAGCTTGTAAATCTGTTTTTAGCACATTTTTTTCCTTCCACTCAACTTTCCTTTTCATTTTTACACTGGGATACAACAGGACCTTTTTATGCCTACCATTGTGGAAGATGTGACTTTCATACAAAATATAGGATTTATATAAATTTAATGGCCAAACCATATTCTTTCTGAGTGAAAATCTTTTTATTTTATTTTATTTTTTTACAGATTTTACAGAATTTACATTTTCAGATTAACGGAATACTGGATTTACAGTTATTGGTCATAATTGTTAAACTTAACTGAAGATGCTGAAGCGTATCACTGCGTGAAATGAATAGTTAATAGATGATCTATCACATTTTGAATTAAGGCATTGACATCGATTTGTTTATAATATTCTAATTCATTGGTATGCGCCTGCAGAAGCTCAAGCATTGATTTCCCACCTACAAAGTAAATCAATTACCTGCTATATGCTGAGGTGTGGCGGAAGAAAGCAGCTTAAGAGACTGACTGTGTGGAGTGAGACAATAACAGCTATCCACAATATCCCAGAGGAGGTATTGTGTTCCCATGTCCGGGTGTTTTGGCTGCAGATCCTAAATCTGAACGCCAGTCGAGTGTTAATTCAGGGGCTGAACCAACTAGAAATCAGCCGTTCATCTTCTGTCCATGACAAATCTCAGTTCAGTCTAAAGTGTATGGCTGGCATCCAGATGGCATTCTTCCTCCTGCAGCAGGCAATCTGGCTACACTTCCTGCATCCTTTCTGTCCATTTAAATGCTGTTGGACGTGTCTCTGTTATCAGAGTTTGTTCCACATTGACGCCTCTGATTAAAACCGTTGGAGAAGTTTGTAGATTAAATAGGGTCAAGCCACCTATTTGTGTTCTGATCTGCGGACAGCAACCTTTTTAACACCCTCAACATTGATTTGTTACAGTGAAGATTATGGAGAAATTCTTTGCGCCAGCCGGCACATTTGCTGATTGTTTGTCCCATTTCAGTCGTTAATGAGATGTTTGATTCTCCTGTGAACGAGGCCTGATCTTATTGTGGAGAAGAAGTGCTTTTATCTCAGCATGGAGCGGATTACCAGCTGTGAAACAACTGCAGTCTCCAACCCAAACCTCCGGCATCTCAAGGATTACCCTTCAGTTGCTCTGATTGGGAATTTTACTCGTCATCGGCTGAGAGACCCGATTCGCAGCGACAGGAAGTGACACTGTTTGCTTTCACTAGTACAAACTCTGCCTGTGTTTGTCTCTCGGCACTGCTCCCTGTTGCTCCGGTCTCTTTGTTTCTGAACATTGTGACATTGAAATGTCAGAACCTCCGAAAATGTTCAGTTTCCACTTTTCTTTTTTTTTTTTTTCTCACTCAAACTCTGTCCTCACGGCGCAACCGCAATTGCGTTTGTTGCCTGGCAACGGCAGCTTATTGAACATTTTATCAGGAAGTATTGAGATCAACTGGGAGCACGTCAGCGGTTCAGAGGAATAATTTGTTGTAAATAGATGCCTCTGGAAAAACAGGTTCAGCGATAGCTATGGGGTTTAATAAAGAATGAGACAAGCAGTGTGCCTAAAAGCTCATACTGAATGCTGCCTAAAAATGTCAAGCACAAGAAATGAAAGCTGTGGAAATCGGAACCATAAAACATGCGTTTCTAGGCACTTTGAAACCATTTCTTACGTCATTTTCATCTCCCTTTTAGATATGTGCTTTACAGGAAATCTGACTGGTTAGCATGTCAATGTGAACTAACATAAGTTCATGTGTTAAGTCCGACTGTGACGATTTAGTGCCCTCCAAGTTACAGATGAATAAAGTAAAGATAAATTCAGATTTTGATTGTAGGAGCTAAAAATATCATCCGGAGAAATGTTAGGAAACCCAACCTTTATTTTAAGAATAGTTATTAAGTTGGAAAAAGTCTGAAATTTAGATTAAAGTTACTCAGCACGGGCATACCAAAACAAATAAATCAATCATTTTCATTTATCTGTGTCTACAAACATTTTATTAGTAATATAAGATTTCCTGTCAGTCACTTCATCAAGAGCAGACATGAGTTGATCTAAATAAATCAGAAAATATTCACAACAAAACGTCTCCTGTCAAAATAATGCTAGCATCATTCTCCAATATGCTTTTCTATCCTACCATCACAGAAACCTTTACATTTAACAGTTGCACTATCAAGTGCAAAAACAAAATATATATGCAGAGGATTGTTTTCAGAATGTCTGTTGCATATTTTAGCATGTTTCAGAGTGAGATTATGATGCTGCCATATAGGAGAAGTGTATTTCAAGGGTTTGCAACATAGAGGTAAAACGTAACACTTGTGGAAGGTGCTGGACCTAAACTGGGGTATTTTATTCAGAGATGGATCAACTACTGCAGAGCTGTCTTGTTCCTGAGTCGTTCTTAAAAGATAAATCCATAAACACTGATGTCGGTGATTAGTTTGGATGTTTGTATGCAAACAAGACTTAAAGCACACAGAGCTGAAACCCTCTGTAATTATAACTGAATGTCTGGGTACCTGCTGTGTCTACGCAAGGCTGAAATACACATTTGAGAAGTGTTTCCATATTTCCACTAAAAGAAAATATTGTGAGGTTATTTTTGTCTTATTTAAAAAAAAAATGTCTAAAAATGAATCTGCTGTAAATCATTTGATAGTTTTCTCATAGAGCAATGAAGAAATTACAAGAACAGCCCAGTTTATGCATCAAAAAATTGATATTTAGAAGGTCAGATTCCAACCAAGTGCATGGAGTGTTTATTACCAGGGACTGATAAGTAAATATTTACCTAAAATCCCAGGATGCATTGAGCTGGATGACGGCTGCAACGACAAGTCAACAAAATATTTGAAGGTTGTTTTTAAACACCATTAAAAATTATAACTTCACATTAGTCATACCAAGGTGCTATTTTATTTGTCTTGGACTGTTGAGATCTGGATCATTAAGTCTGAGTTTAGTTTTTCTTTTGGCCTCTTAACCTTCATACATACTGCAGTTTTCTTAAGCAGTAAATAAATTCAATGCTTAAAACTTAACTTTGTTTTTGACATTCAAAGGCTTGGACTTTTGTTTGGATTCATCCTTCAGACCTCAGTCAGTCTTTGTCCGAAGCAAAGGGATTTCCAGCTGTATTTGCACCTACAGGCAGGTTGTTGGTGTGACAAATAAGAAATGTAGCTTTCTAAATGCTAACATTTTATAAGAAGCAGTAAAGTGATGTAGTCACATTGACTGTTTCAGGCTTTTCACTGTGGAAAGAAATGACCTAAATTGATTCAGAAATGCCTTAAAGTGTACGACCACTGACAGCCGACTTCACACTGTTCACAACTCATTTCTGCTTCAGACAGACAGAAAAAAAAACATCTAGTGGTATCATTAAAACTCACTAAATAGTGGAATAGTAGAATTGTGTTGAACAGTGTCGGAGACAATAAGGAATTAAACGTGAATATGTTTAGAAATGCAAATTTCCTTCTGTTTATTCATTCATTTTTCAAGGACTTAAGTCCTAAACTGACATAAGTGATTCTGAAAAGAAGACTCTGTTTTTTTTACTTTTATTTTTTTTTAATATTTGGCTGTTTTTATTTTTTTGGAGTGTTTTTTTGTTTGTTATGTGTGATGTGGTTTTTACCCTTATAGGCTTCCTGGAGCACCTGTTTCTCTTTCGGAAGAGTAGAAACAGTAATAACTTACCAAAACTCCTTAATTGCACCAGAGAAACATGCTGCATTTTTGCATTTTTTTTTAAAAGAACAAACAGGGCACAAGATGGGCTTAACATGTTGACACAGTTGCTACGTAGCTCATAAGAGTCTCAAACCATTTACTAAAAAACACAGAATAATATCTAAACAGTTTGCCAAAACTTCATTTGAAGTCATTGTCTTGTTAAGAAAGATTTCTTGTTCATATTTCTGCTCACTTTTTTGCCAATTAGATAAGTTGAACGTTCCTCCTAATAGAATCAAAAGACAGTTGTTTCATTCCGTCACTTGGCAAGCATTTTTTAAATTGTAAACCGATTTCCAAACACTTTCAAGCACCGACTTCCCAGATGGCGCCTTGTAAAAAAACATCTGCTGCATCACGTCAGTTCAGCATTACAAAGCTGTACGTTTGACTCAACTGCTGCTGCATGCCACACTTTGCATATAAGATCAGCTGGAGAAGAATATTAAAGACAAAACACACGAGCAACGTTTTGAGACGATAAACTCTTTGGCCAGTACTTTGTGGACGCTACTCTTGGTAAACGTAGAGTTTGCATGATGAACTACTTCTGAGTATAATAGTGGCGTAATAAATGATTTTCATAGTGACTGCTTTGAGTATGCGCAGGCAATTGGATGCTTTAATTTCCCAGCAGTGCTCCCTCCCGTTGCTGTTTCATTGCTGTGCTTTGTGGCGTGTTACTGCCACCTGGAATAACGCTGAAGCATTGGCAGGAATGTAAATCACACCACTCATGTGTGTTTGTGTTTGTAGGGGGAGAAAAAATGAGAAATGTCTCATAAAATGTGCAGAGACGTGAATTCAGAGCGCATCTATTGTTTTAAGATGAAAGCAAAAGATGAGATTCCCTGCTTGTGATATAGGATGTAATTATGTAACAGCTCTGCGGCTATGGAGCTTTTGCTGAACTTGCTACTCTGTAAGTATGAGCAGGAACTAAGCAGTTATTGTGGATATTTCTTGCAGGACCACAACTCCTTTCCTTTGTAAAATGTCAACATTTTATGCAACTGCAATTCATCCTTGTATGCCGGTATTATTGTCAGCGGAGACCATGAGGAAAAATGTTTCTCAGTTCCTTTCTGAATGGCAGCTGCAGACAAAAAGCCTTCCCTGAATGATTCAGATGGACTGACAGCTAAACCTGACATTTACTGCAGATATTTTAGTTAAAACCCCAAAAGAAAAAACAAACAAACAAAAAACAAAATAACAAAACAAAACAACAGTCTGCTCTAAATACTTATGGATGGATTTAACTTTTTATTTCAAGTATTTAGCTTATTAGTCTGTTCTGGCTGTTGTTTTAGCTACTTAAGTGAGATTAGAACTGAAAGAAGGTTAGATATGTAAGGATAAAGTATTGGAAAAAGGGAATAGAAGAGACAAGGATGAGGAAAGTTTGAAAGAGGTGGGAGGGAAGGAGAAGAGAGTGTCAAAGCCCAAGTTGTTTGAATAAAAATGAGGCTGGGTGTGGAGAGATTTCTCTTTCTTTTTTTTTTGTCTTTCTGTCGGTCCTTTCCCATCCACCTTCTTCTCCTAATGCCCACAGTCTCTCTGAATCTCTGCTTCCAGACCACATCTCCACAGCCTGCTTTGAACACTTTGAAGGAAAAGAAGTCATTCTATTTTAGATGGAGTCTTCTATAAAGAAGAAGAAAAAACTTCTCTAAAAGAAAAAAAAAATACATTTTGAACTCAGATCTCCTGAGCTACACTGGCACATATCTTTTTTTTTTTTTTTGTCAGAAATCCCTGCAGTATTTCGGTTTTGTTTTTGATTTTAAGTGTTTGTCAAAACTGAAAGAAAAAAAAAATCTCAACCTGCTTTTCCTCCTTGCGCATTTCCTGTCTAAGTTCATCAGAATAAACTTATTCAGGCACAGCATGAACAAAAATGTTAATTTTACAGATTTTAAGACTTTATACTCACCAAAAGAAAGTATTTTTTCTCTGAGTTTTGACTGTAGGGTTTTTTTTTTACAGAGTTTAAAAAAGAAAATAAAATTTGATTTATACATCTCTCAAAAGGGCATTTTGTCCTCATGAGGTTTTAACATGTTCTTTTAGTGTTTCTATCGCTTAAAACAAATTAGCATGCCTATTCATCCAATAAATATAAAAGATTATAACTAATTAGTACTTCATGGCACAATCTCAATGTGATAAAATAATATCTAAGTTTTAGTACAGCTTCACAAAGACACAAGCACGACTGTAGAGCATTAATCACACGGAAATATTCTAAAACTGCAAAACACTGGAATAATAAATATTGGTATGAAGTATGTTTTCTAAACGGTGAACACAATAATACATTTTACAAAATATTGAATTATTTTGCTGTTTAGTTAAATTCAAACTGTCTTCTTATACACATTTACATTTTTCTTCTATTACTAAATTTTCTCATGCTGATGTACTTTTGTTCTACCTGCTTGCCATACTTGTCTGTAATGTACAATTTCTCTTAAAAAAAAAAGAAAAAATGGTTAATAACTAATTGTAATTTGCCTTTCTATGTTTACCTACAGTTACTGTTCTACTTGTTGACGGCTCGTCTATTGAGCTCTAATGTATTATAACTCTGTAATATAATGGGAGTATGCGCACACGTGCATTTTTGTGTCCGTGTGGCTGTAATATACCGTGTGGGTGTGCTGTTGTTCAGTGTACAGTGACATGTTTGTACATTGTGCATTTGTAGCTGTGGACTTTTTGACTCTTACATTTACAAAGAACTGATTGTCAATAAAGAGGACAAACTGGACTGTTTTGGGTTTACAAACATATAAACTGCTGAGGATGAGATTAAGGCAAGAAACATCAATAAAGCCTTCCAGATCTTAGTAACTTTGAATTGATCTTAACCGTATTCGTTATTCAGAAAAGCACAAGGCTTTTTGCATTAATTTTTCACAAAATAGACACAGTCACCCTTATGTCACCTTCTGATTCATCTGCATCCTGTAGTAAATGTTTTAGTTACTTTATTTTTAGTTTTCCAATGGTATTTGAAACACATGTATCAGCCATAGGCCTCAATAATTAGTCTTTGCAGGATAAGTGGGGAGGAAATTATTTCATAATTTTCACATTTCTTTAAATCTAAAAATCTGTAGCGTATTATGCTTTCAGCATTTTCCTGCAGTTTCTTTTGGGGTTTGTTTCTCAGCTTTTCACATAATGTTTCTTTTTTTGCCAATTCTTTTTGACAAAATAGCTTCAGCTCAGTCAGATTGGATGGATATAAAAGCATCATTTTTTAAAGTATTGCCAAAAATGTTTTTTGTGGCATTGAGCGGCATCTTATAATGCCGCTAACAGCCTCCATCACAGTTGGGATGGTGTCATTCACACTTCTTTTTTTTTTCCAATTTATTACAGTCAAGCATTTTCTTTTTAGTTTCATCAGACACAGCTCCATTACCTTGTGAGCATTTGCAAACTGTTTTATGGCATTGTATATTTTCCTTTCAGAATGACTTCTTCCTCTCTGCGTGACATTCCTATGACAGCGGATTAGAGCCATAAGAGATGGAGTGAACGTCCACCAAAAAAGTCAGAAATGTTTAGATTAAAAGATGTTCTAGAAAAAAATGAAGATGTTTCTGGGTTTAAGTTGTTGAAAGTTTTGCCCTCAGTGGCAATAATATGATGTCATACATTTCACCCTATGATAGTGCAATAATGACGCTACGCAAGTTGAAATTCAGAATTAGTTTTTCTCACAAATTTTGGACTTTTGGAGCTCAGATACTTCTATGCTTCTCTAGAAAATGTCTTCACTTAATCTAAAATTTCCTGAGTTTTTAGACCATTCCTTTACTTCCTATATGCACCATCATACAGTTCATCCTCTGTAATTGGATGAATCATTTCACTGTGGATAATGACACTAAATCAGATCCAGTCAGCATTATTGTAAGGTGGTTTTGCCTTTGTTCTGCAGCTGATGCACATTTTGCACCAAAACCTTCATCTTTGAATCACGGGACCCGTCTACTTCCTGAACAGGATGTGCATTCGCATGCTGCTTGTACTTACACTAAAAGTGCGGCTCTGATTTATGTTGGGGATCATTTGGGTTTTCTAAAATTGTTGAAAGCCATGCCGGACCAATATGTGTGTATGTAAACTTTGAACTTTTCTGCCATTGCGTTTCGATCAGTGAGTTTTCCTCAGTGAGGCAAAAAAAGACCCCGGAATTACTTTTGTAGTTTGTGAGAACAAAAGGACAATGGAGGAACAAAAGAGAACATCACATGTGGATATCTTTACATGAGGACCCAGATATCTCATTCGGTGTTCAGTATTCCCCTCCACAGGCAGCATTAAACCTTAGATTTCACCTTATCTGGTGAACATTATATTTCTCAGTAGACTAGAGATGACAGCTGCGTTCTGGAAAGTAATGAGAAAGGTAATAAAACTTCTTAATGACTTCCTCTTTCATACAGCAGAGTAAATTAATCATTTATGGGAGGGAGAGTAAGTTTTTTAAAAAAAAGGTTTTGACTTTAATTTGTACGTTCAGATGAGGTCAGAGAATAAGAGGCATTTAATATCACTGAGTTAAAAAAAAAATAATCACACAAACTTAAAAAAAAAAAAAGAAAGCCCACAGGGTGAAGGATATGAATCACATTTAAAACCTAAATTTGCCAATAAAAGAAACCAATTACCTGCCAGCCTGTGGAGTCTGCTGAAATGCAATATTCAGAGCAGTGAGAGCTTCATCAGTTCTCATGAAACTGATTAACAGCACAGGAACGATTGCAAATTGCTAATGGCTGCCATGAATACACACAAGGACTTTAACTGACATAAACCTATTAACTGCAGCTAAGTGATAGAAAATGGAATTTGATTACGATGAAATGTGCTTTGTGAGAGACTAGATTGCCCGTGACATGAGCTTACCTTAAAATTAAAGTTAATTTCCAATCAACTGTAAACCACAAAAAGCAGACTAAAAATCAACCAAAACACATCTGGGAATTTAGTTTGTGCAAACTTGTCAAAGATTCTCCTCAATTCATGAGAGGAAAGTTCTTCACTCCAGCAATCAACTTGTCATATTAACCGTCACAGATCATCCCAGTAGAGTTCTGACGCCATCAACTCTTTGCTCAGCAGGAATCTTCTGTTCTGAGCATGAAGAAAGTTTCCTGTGATTTCCGTTTACTACTGACCACACAGAGTCGGTTAATCAATAATCCAGCACCCGGGGGACGTCTCTGCTAGCATTGCTGACCAATCATCTACAAAACATCAAGGTAGGCTCCAGAGATCAGTGTAAGTACTGTATGTGACAAAGAGGTGTGGCTGCAAGCTCTGCTGGCCCTTAAAGGCTTAGACACAAAACCAGTGATGAATGAAAAACAGAGTACTGACAAAAACTGCAGGAGGAAATTGGGTAAAGCTTACATAGCTGGAATATTCTGGAGCGTTTTACCCCCTCCGGTGGGTTTTAGCTCACAGGCAGCTTACATAGCAGACATGAAGCTTTTCTTTGACTCCCTCATACAACTAAAAACAAGAATGTTAGGCTAACAGGAGGAGCAATGCAGAAACCCTTCACAGTTTACCAAGAATGAGGTCATTAAATGTGAATACCTGCAAAGAGAGATGATTTGTATCATTTCCTCTTGTGCATTATCGAAAATAATATCAGTTTGTTCAAGTTGGACAATGCAAAAACCAGCTTGATAAACAGAGAGAACCTTTTAAAAAGAACACTCAAAATGTCTCCAGTTCACCCTTTGCTTTGCATTGTTGTACAACTTTGCTTTCTTCATGTGTAAACTTGAAAGATATTCCAACAGGAGACTCGAACCGTAAAAAATGAGATTAGACCGAGCGGCTTCCAGCAAACACCGAGGGCATCCTCTGAAAGCAACACGGGCGCTGATCCCTCCAGAAGAATCGCCGGCTAAATTTAGTCCTCAGAGGCTTCAGGGCAGAAAATAAACAATGGGACGCTGAAAACATGACGGGGGAGAGGAAGGTAAAGGACAAGGTTAAATATGGGGGGATAGATGGAAGTTAATGGGAAAATAGGGGAAAAAAGATGCATGAGAATAGGCATTATTATCTTGTTCTTTGTGTGATTTAAACGTTGAGAAAATTAGTTTATTTTAGATGGAAGAGGAGGACGTTAATCTGGATTAAGCTGAGCATTAACGTTTCCTTTGATTCTTTTTATCAAAACTTTGAGCAACTCGAGCCAGTTCGGGTCTCAATGCTCTGAAATGTTGGTCAAAAATGTTTTTGGTCGGCTAAATTTCTCCAACATTAATACCCACCTTTATAGAGATCCTGCCTTGCAAAGAGAGTTCAGCAGAAATGCTGAACTCTTGTAAATCAGCCGACTGGTGCTTTAACTATGCCGCTGTGACATGATGGGGTCAAGAGTGATTTAAGCAACATGTCACTGCCTAGTTTTAAACTTCAAATAGGCAGGAAAACCATAAAAATCCTTTTTTAAGGAAGGTGTTTTTTCCTGCTGCGGCCAAATGCCCGTTTGAACTTAAATTTACTGCTGTGTTGTTTTTCCCTTTTCCCTCTTTAAATGCTTTTTTTTCTCCTCTGAGGATTTCTGTTTGTACATTAAAGGTCCACACAATTAAAATGGCACTAAAAGAGTGATTAAACCTTTGTTTGTTGGAGATTGAGGAGAGCAAAAGAGCTGAAGGCGCTTTATAAAACAACCGATTTGATTGTACAGAAAAAAAAACTTGATCCTTGCTTTAAAACCATCAAGGATCTGTAAGTGTGACTAACATGTCACGTCATTGGAAATCAAATTGAGGGAGTGCAATAATTAAAGGTCAAACTCTCAGTGGGATAATTTACAGCACTAAAGGTTTGAATTCATCAAGGTTAGACTTTTAAATTACCTTAAAGTTACAAATAATGACTAGAAGTGTCACAAGTTACAAATAATGACACCCTGCAAAATGTATAGCTATTATTAAACTGCAAGATATACATTTGTATTTTAAAAATTGCACATGGAGAGTTTTAGAATAAAAATGGTTGTTGCAAATTAACAATGTTTGATTCTAGTTTTGATAAAATAAAAAGTGAGAAGCTAAAGTTAGTGCAGAATGTGTTTGGCACTTTAATAATGGGTTTACTGACAGCAGAAAGAGAAATGTGACAGTTTCTAGAAGTGTCACAAGTGTTTTTACACATTGCGCTCACATTAGAGATGATTCATATATTGTTAGCTGTTCATTAAAGGTGTTTGTATTGGGATTCTGTTGCAGCGTTGTGGCTGGCAGCCAGTGGGTCAAGAGGAAATAGATCTGGTTCCTGATTGGAGTCCGACGGTCAGACATCTTGTCTTTATGTCATGATCTCTGTCACCCTCTGATCGTCACCTTGCCGTCACCACCAGTGGCACAAATTCTGTACATCTAGACTCTCGCCTGACTGTTCCTGGTGGCTGTGGTTAGCCGGTTAGCTGACAGGTTTCCTCCTCCTCCTTGATGCTGATTGTTCAGCTGCAGGACGCTTTGCAGCCACCTGGCTGCCAGTGTTCACCGGCTCTGGGGAACATGGCGGCCGGTTTAAAACCCTGTCTCTTTTCCTGAGCTTCTTTGGCCTGGTTTCTCTGCCGACCTGCTCCGTCTGCCTACTGGGGCATCTTGGGGCTGAGAGGACATGACTGATAGGACCCATAGACAGTGAGGTTATTACTCTCCTCATTATTGCAACATCCTTACAACTAGCACACTTGTGCTACACTACACACATAGTATCTCTGTCTATCTTCACAAGAACTTTGCTTTGACTTCTGTTCATTATTAATTCATTCCTACAGCCTAACCCTAACCCTAAACCTGCATCCCA